CTTTTGGCATAATTCTATCACAGAAGGAGATAGATTAACATCAGCCTTTCTAGAGAAAGTTCATAATGAGAAGAACTCATCAAGAGCTTATTCAACCTTTTGAATGACTCTATCACAGAAAGGAGGTCATCATTATCCCCAGCAGGAAGTTCATAATAAGAAGAACTTATTTGGAGAGAGAGAAGAATTTATTCAATATCTCCATTATGATCAAAGTAAAGTCAAATGGATAAAAAATTTTATTATCTTTTCATCTTTGCCCTATTCTTGTTAACACAAGAATGAGCAAAGAGGGGCAGCTGAAGATACTAATTTTTTTATCCATATTATTATTATTAATATTATTATTATTATTATTATTATTATTATTATTATTATTATTATTATTATTATTATTACTATTATTATTAAATATATTAAATACATATAAATATTATTAAAAATAAATAAATAATAAAAATATAATTACAGGCCCAATTACAATTGGACCGGCCCAGTTACAAACCAACCAGAGCCGGTCCGAAACCAACCAGAAACCCTAAATATTTGGGTTTCCAGTTAGGGTTTCCTAACCCTAATTTACCCAGCCGCCTCAGCTCACAGCCGTTGGATCTGGCAAGATCCAACGGACCAGATTGTCCCAGATGGAAACCCTAGGGTCTGATACCCTAGGGACACGCGGCCGCCGTTGCTATCTCGCCGCCTCCGCCGCTGCCACGTCCCAACCGAAGACTCCAGAAGACAGATTACCAGCCGTCCACGCCATGGCTACTCGGTGAGTCACCACTGGTAGTCCGGTGACTCACCGAGGCCCCCTCTTCGGACCGGTCTGAGACGAACACCGGTGGTGGCTATAAAAGCCACCACCCATCTGCGAAAAAAAAAGAGACAGAAGCCAGGGACAGAGACAGAACCAAAAAGAAAAAAAAAGGAAGGAAAATAGAGAGAGATATAAAACTACCAACGATCCCAACAGAGCAAAAACAAAAAACAAGAAGGAAAAAGAGAAGAGAGAAGCTTACCAAGGAAGCCTTGACCGTCGCCGGAAACACTGAACATCGCCGGAGAACCGAAAATACCGAAGGTATATTTATAGATCTGCTCCGATTGGGAGCCATTTAAGGAAAAAGAACATCGGAACCGTCCTTAGGACGGTCCGATCTATCCAATAGTATAAAAATAAATTTTCCGGCCACCGGATACGGTGGCCGGCGGGGACACTCGCGGCGGCAGACGGCTGCCGGATTCCCTCCGGTGAGGGAATCTAGAGAGAGGCCAGAGAGAATTCTCTCTCTCTCTCTCTTTCTGCTTAAAGAAAAAAAAAGAAGAAATGAAATGGCTGGCCCTTCGGGCCAGCCGGTTTGGACCATTTATAGTCCTTCCCGAACGACGTCGTTTCGGGAAGGACTATGCGCGTAATTATGAAATAGTTAAATCCCTTCCGTAGTCCTCCTAACTTGTAAATGTTTTATTTTGATCACTAAACTGAATTTATAATAATTTTAATTCAGTCTTTGAATTTTAATTTTATTCATTTTAGTCCCTTTTATTAAAATAATATATTTAGGATAAATGACAGATTTAATCCCTTAATTTTAATAAATATTTTTTAAATCCCTAGTTTATATTTTTAATTTATTTGAATCTAATATCTGAATTTTAGATAATTTTATTTTAATCACTAAATAAATAAAATAAAAAAATAACCTATTTAATCCCTATAGTTTTGATTAATTATGAATTAAATTTTTAATTTTATTTTACTGAAATTTAGTCATTTATTTTATATGTTTAATTTATTTTATTGTTTTTAAATATATTGTTTTAATAGAATTTTTCTTTTATTATCTTGTTAAATATTTTATATATTCATAAATATATATAATAAATAACTTTTAAATATTTATTTTTAATATCGAAGAAAAGGACAGTCTTAATACAACTGGATGTCCTATTCTGATATTTTAAAATTAAAAATTAAATAATATTATTTAAATTAATATTTATCAATATCAAAGAAAAGAACTGTCTTAAGGCACCTAGAAGTTCTTTTCGGATATTTTTAAATAAATATAATTTTGAAAATAATAGGATTATAAATTAAATATATTTTTGAATTTTTTTTAAATTTTAATAATAGAGACAATTTATAATTAAAAAGTACCAATTTTGGGCGTTGTAGGGGTGCTAATCCTTCCCTAAACGTAACCGACCACGAATCCTTTTTTATTATTAAAAAGAACTAATTTTTGGTTATAAACGCAGATCAGTTCATTTTTTTATTAGTGTTTTCTTTAAAACTCTTTTAAAAAAATAATTTTTAGGTATTCGACCTACCTGATCCAAAAGGCCGATGGCGACTCCCAAATTATTTTCAAAACTATTTATTCACATCAATTTCCCCGCCAAAATAAATATTTCGTGCCCGGACGAAAACCGGTTACGACAGTAAATTTTCACCTTTTCAGATAGTAGTAGACCGTAAATTAGCAGACTTGATATCAGGATGACCAACTACTCCTATTTTTGTACCACTATATATCTCTATTTGTCTTTTTCTTATACTTTGGTGCCACGTGTTTTTGCTACCGTCTCGATATATCTGTATTACCAGTATTTTTTTATTTATATGTTTTATACGATTTTTTGATATATATATATATATATATATATATATATTTATTTATCGTATGAACCTTTCTTACGACTAATTTCATATTATATTGTTATATAGAATTTAACGTTGTTTTAAATATAAAAGAATTTCTGAATACGATATATAATTGTCTAAATTTGGGCATAACGTTCAGGTCGGGTTTAAGGGTTACATATAAATTTGACCTGAAATTTAGTTATTTTCTTAATATGAGAAAACATATGTAATTGTGATGATCTATAGATCACCGTTTCTCTTTTTGTCTTTGACCATAAACTTTATCTTCCCTTTTGGTAATTCATTTTAGCATATTACTCGATTTTTAGTAAATTGCCTTAAGAGTGTTACCATGCATGCACCCGATAGAGGGATCTATTACTTATTAACAAAATTTGACTCGACTCGAAAAATTAATATTTTTTATACGATTTGAAAAAAATTGACTCAAATTGATTTTGATTTGTAATTTCATAAATTTGACTCGAAAAAATTTCAAGTTCAAATCGAGTTGTAAAATACAACTCAAATAGTAACTTGGATAACTCAAAATTTTTAATAATTAGTGGAGTAGTTTTCAAGTTTGAGTCGAGTCTCTCGACTATGTATGATATATATATATATATTTCACATATGAAAAAAATATAAAAGAAATATATATTTATTGTATATAGTTATAGAAAATCATTTAAATTAGAATTAAGTAATCATAATGTTATAAATATTTATAGTAAAATTTAAATAGAAACTCGAAGACTCGACTCTAAAAAATTTCAAATCAATATTGAGTTATAAGATAACACTTATCAACTCGAATAATTAGAAAATTTTCACTCGACTCGATCGAATGCTCACCCTAATTATTAGTGACATTTGATTAAAGGAACTCTATTATTTAATGTCCAAAAAGAGATACCATTTACATTATCGTAGTGCAAGAAACTTCTATTTTGACTGCATGAACCGATTAGCAGACAGTTTGGAATTGTTGATCATCAATTTATCAATGCAATTTGTGGTTATTTGGCAAAACCAATATTAAGTTTATGCTTTCACTTCATCAGTGAAAAACAGTTTACGCGCGTCACAATCCTCCACCAGCTGCCAAATTGAATTCACTTTGCTCTATGACCGAATACTAAAATTCTTCCTACTTCACCGAACTCAGTACAGATTGCACAAGGAAACAAAAGTTCCTTTGCAAAGTATAAACAGGATACGAAAGCTTGTAATTAGTTTCATCAATTGACACTCGGGATTTGGTTGGTTAAGTGGAGAGAAGATAGAAAAGATGGAAATTTGAGTAGTAGAGAATATATATATATATTTTAATTTTATTGGTGGGTTTGGTAGTAATGACCCAAGTTTTCAATGAAATTTTGGGTTAATAGTAAGGTTGACATCTTTTGAATTACAGATCCAAGTTTCAATCTCACTATGTGAGTTTTTTAATTCATTTTTTGTTGATGGTAATAACTGATTCATTGGCTACTATGATGTAATTTAATTTTAGTTTTATCATGTTTTTTTTACGATGTATGTGAAAAGATGAAAACACCTCTAAATATGTAATTTAATTTAGAAAGATTTTCGTATGACTTAGGTTTGCTCTTGGTTAAATAATATTATATGATTTTTGTTGGGTAATTTAATGTAATATTTGGTTGTATTCATACATCGAATAGAATTTTTAATAACAAATCTGTACCAGTTCATTTCGATGACTAATATGATATCTAATATTCGAGTCGGACTACCTCAATCGGGTATAGAGTGCATATATTTATTATGGTTTAAGTAGAGATATATACGGTTGGTTGTAGAGATAATTATAGCGATGCATTTTGGTATCCAACTTAAGAATGCCAAGAGTGAAATCTTTTCTGCTAAAGTTCCCCATGAAAAGCTAGTTTAAAACCAAGGTCCAATAGCATTACGCGTGATTGCAGTAAGGTCCAAACCATATCAGAACGGCAAATAATAAACAAACTCAACTCGTCCGATAAGAAACCCCTTTTTCTTTTTTATTTCTATGCTTTGGTCTTCATAGTCCACGTTCAAATATTTTGTCCAATTGTGCGCGTGAATGAAGTCAAACAGTCAAATACATAATTAAAAAACTCACAAATGGGTTCAATATGATAGTAAACTTAATCAGTTTGGATTACTATGATTAATCTCCTGGTGCGTTCTTCTTCTTCTTCTGTCAAACATTGCCTTCTTTTTCTCCTTCACTATGAGAAAATAATAGTAATAATTGTTTAGTTTTAAAGTTAGTCTTAATCCCATCTTAGCCGCTCTCTATATAATCCCCCTCCCATAATGTGCTATCTTCAACACAAACTCAAATCTCAAATCAACTCTCTTTCTCTCTATCTTTGGCTCTTGAAAAATGGATGTTCACAAGAGATTTTTCATATCAAAAAGTGAAGAAGAGATGGACGTAAAGAAAGGTCCATGGACAGAAGAAGAAGACTCCATGCTTAAGGCGTATGTCAATATCCATGGCGAAGGTCGCTGGAACTCTGTTGCTCGCTTATCAGGTTAATATATAGTTTCATAGAACCCCAAGAAATTTTTAGTTTTTTTATTTGTGATTTGGCACATTGTGATGAGGAATGGGTTTACAGGATTGAGAAGAACGGGAAAAAGCTGCAGATTGAGATGGCTGAACTATATGCGACCTGAAATCAAACGGGGAAATATCAGCCTGGAAGAGCAGCTATTGATTCTTGAACTCCATTCTCGCTATGGCAACAGGTTTTTTTCCCCTTTGTTCCTGGAATTCAATAGGAGTGTGAAATCATGAATGGTTTAGCTGATTTTGATCTTTGAAGGTGGTCGAAAATTGCCCAACACTTGCCCGGAAGGACAGACAATGAAATAAAGAACTACTGGAGAACAAGAGTCCAGAAGCAGGCGAAGCATATGAAATGCGACGTTAACAGCAAACAATTCAAGGACGCCATGCGTTACGTTTGGATCCCCCGTCTGATCGAACGGATCCGTGCTTCATCACAGTCAACCACGGCTAAACCTTCCACCATCACCGGCATAACAACTGAGTCTGACTCGGTCCACATTGACCCAAGTCTCCTGCCCGAATTATCAGGCGCTTCATGGGACTCCCAAGTCTCTTCCGTGTCGGGCCTGACAGATTGTTACAATCCACAAAGCGTTTCGAACTACGTGGCAGCTGGAACATGGTTCGAAGATGATGGGGTGCTTGAATTCCAGGCGACGGAGGAGCATAGCAATGGTTGGTCGGTTGGTGGTGGTGGAGAGTCCTCGATGGAGACGGTGTGGAATGAAGAGAATATTTGGTTTTTACAGCAGCAGCTTCATGATGAGGACTAGACTAATCACTAATGACATGAATTTTATTGCACAGATTTTATTATATTTTAATACATTGTCGACATACTGGTATCTGACGATGGAGATTTAATTTTCAGCTAACACCACAAAAGACAGTAGATTAATGATATTTATAGAATTAGTGGAGACAAATACTGTGGATCCTTTTTTCTTCTTCTTAATGTTTATCCAAGCAAAGAATTACACTTCCTGATTGCTGCAACTTGGAGATTCTAGAAATCGTACCTTTGTCGATCAATGATGGAATTAAAAAAAAGCGCCTAACCTTAATATTCCTTTGCTATGCTGCCTTCCACCGAGGGGGAAACATGAATTCATTTTTATTGGATTTTCAACGGCAGCCGTAAGTTTCCGAGCACCAACTGCCGAAACACTTGAAACCATGTCCGGTTCCAAAAGTCTAACCAGTCAACTCTAGCTCCCGGGGGTAATAATTACTTTAAGTAATCTTAATATTCTTGCCAATTCTATCAAAAACTTTCGTCAAGTATATATGGGGTGCATCATGCATGTTGCATACCTCAATTGGTTAGGTTTGAATTTCATATTTTGATATAATAAAACCAATTTAAAAATGTACTTAATTATTTTAAATAATTTTAAGCCTTCAAAACAATAAAAATATGCTTTCAATTGTTTTTCAAACTTGTTTATACTTGGAAACTGAAAAGGGATTGTTTTTCCACTTGAAAATAACCTTTCACGAGCTTCAAGCTAAAAACTACTCATCCATTTTTGGTAATAAGATTTCAAAACTTTTATTTCAGTTATTTAGTACAAAATGAATCAATCCATCCTATTGGTGCTGGGCTTGACTCTTGTCGGGTTAAGCCTAATTAAATGATTATATATTTAATTATTTTAGTATTGAATTTTTTTAATAAATACTTATGATATATATTTAAATTTATTAATAAATTGTACATATTCTACATTCGTAATTTTATATGGTGAAAGTAATAAAACAACATTTATTTTTTTATCACCAAAAGTAATAAAATTTAAATGAACGCTTTGGATTTTTAGGATAGTTATTGTACAATAACCTAGTATAAGGCTACGAAAAGACGTTATCGAAAGTATTAATATTTTTTTAACATTTTCGGTAGAGTTCTACTTAAAATATTATTTTTTATACCGAAAATATTAATTTCGTTACCTAAAATGAATATTTCCGATATTAACATTTTCGGTAGAAAGATAACATTTTAGATAGTATTGATATTTTCGGTATAAAACATAACATTTTAGTTAACGCTTTATCAAAAATATTAAAAAATATTAATATTTCTAATAACGTATTTTATTAGTCTTATATTAGACTACATTTCCTTAGAGATCCGGGTTTTTCAGATACAGCAGCCAATTGTTTTAGCACGTTGCTAGTTACTTCAAAGTAAACGTGTTAGTGGAGATTTAAAATTGATTGTGTGCTGAAAAATGTTCCATTTCTATCAAAATGTTGTCACCCCTTACGTAAGCGCGATGTGGCCGGTCCTTTGATTTCTCACACAAGCTTTACCATTTTAAGGTAAATTACTTTTTTGGTCACTTAACTTTGTTAGTTTTTCCTTTCAATTTGTCAATTTTAAAAAAATTAATTCCATCTCTTAATTATCTAATTTCACTTCTTTTTATTATTTGATTGTTAAGTTTTAATATCAATACCAAAATATAGCGTTTTGAGCATTTTATTCCTGAAATTAACTAAACTTTTAATATTCTTCGTTCTTATGGCTAGCGTATTTCTCTATTGTCGTTTAACCTTATTGATCATAATTTATCATGTATTATATTTGGTACAAAAAATCCATATTTCTCCTTTTCTCAGTTTATTTTTCTTTGAATCATTTGACAACGAATGCTCTAATACTCATGCAACGACGTGTTCAAATTCGAAATCCTTAAGGATAACAACCACCTCTTAACTATTAAGATCGCTTAATTTGAACTTAAATTATGACTTTTAAATAAGTTTAATATGTGATTTTATATATAGTATTGAAAAAATGTTATATAATATTTTCCAGGTTCAAGAGCAAAGCCTTGTTATAGTATACAAGAACATGAACTTATTTTTTACTGATACTAATGCAGGATAGGGGAAAAAGACAGAGAAATTAAACAGCATAAGGTTTTGAAGGCCATATGCAACGATGATGAACTATTTTCCAAGTAATGGCATCGTCGTCTTCCTCCAGCTTCTTGCACTTGGTGTTCCAAATGCCATGGAACCCTCGATTTCTCTCATAATGGTCAGTCTTATCATCCACTTCCTCCTCCACCTTGTTCCACAAAATATCACAATTCTGGCATCTGATCATAAGCGCTTTCACCAACAAAATTAAAGACGCCATGCTCTTCTCAGCCTATTATCCTCTTATATAAAATCCTTATCTAATGTTTTGAATTTGGCCAACCAACGATGTAAATGCAAGTAAATCCTAATATATTCCCGAAAGGAAAAGACTGGGAAGAAATGGGTTTGGTGAACTATTTACTTACTGCTTCACTTTACGTGAAAAATAGTCATGCAATTGATGCCATGTGAGTTTTGATCACGTTGTGAGGTGTGTGTATAGATGTGCTCTGGTATAATTTAAATGGCATTTAGAAAGTAGACAAAAATATCTGATGTTGTTTTTGCAATTAATGCCTAATTAACTGGTGTTTTTGTGTTGTTAGCTCATTTAAATGGCATTTAGAAAGTAAACAAAATCAGTAGTTACAAGTCCAAAAGCTTTTGTTGCTGGTACATGATAATTAAGCTTTAGCTCTTTTACGGGTGTACATGTAAACTTACTATTATGCTTTCTAGGTAAGGAGCAAAATGGGGCTGGAGGTCTTGCTGATAAAGAAGTTGTAAAAGACCGTATGAGTAATGAAGCTGATTTGTCAAAAAAGAAATGGATGGAGCTGGCAGGTAGATGAGGCTCTCCGTTCTTCGGGATGCATTGAGGGCAGTAACAAGCGTCGTAAATGTCAAATAAATAAATCTAATTCTCAATTTAAATAAATAAAATAGAATAGTATAGAGAAATAGAGTAGATCCATATGAACTAAAGAATTTTCAATTAAATCTAATTTGATTTCTAACTAGAAAATCTGTAAAATAAAATAAAAAAGGGGTTTATCGAATTTAATTGAATAAACTAAAATTAAATAAAAATTAAAAAGCAATAAAAATAAATAATTGAAAGAGATAATGATTGGAGATAGTCTCTAGCTTCACTTTGACTTGGCTCGTCTCAATCCTTGAAATATATTTTACTTTGAGATTTCGGTTACAGTTTAGAATGCTCAACCCTTGTAACTTGCTTTCTCTCTTGTGAACTAATTTCCAAAGTCAAACCTTTGAATTTAATTCTTGTTTGGATTTAACTTCGATTATCGATGTTATCGCCAATATCTTCTTAAATGCTGGAAAAGCCTGTGCTCGAATTATGCGTCTCAATGAGAATCAAACTCGATCTTGATTTCCCTTAACAGATCGCCGCTAAGTTTGTTCTTAGAAATTTGAATTTACAACAAGATGATTCTCCTCCCAACGGTAAATTAAAACAACATTCAAGCCAATATGCAATATTTGAATTGAAAGTGTAAAGAATTTAAAGATTAAGTTGATTATCAATCATTGTTTGTCGAAAATCAAGAAAGATACCTGAAGGTATGAAGCGCTTTTCAATTCTCACGAAACGGATTGAGTCATCGATCAACTATCAGCTAAAAGAGATTTAGCTAAGCATTGATTGGATCATGCTTAACATTGTGAAAAGAAAATAATGAAAGAAAAGTTAAAAGATGAAATAAAAGTAGAACTTCAATAAATAGCCAAGGAAATATAAATTCCAATCTTAGTTCAAAGGTTGAACCTAGGGGTATTTATAACCCAAAAGTTCTAAGTAAATAAAATAACTAATTCCTAATCAAACTAAAAATCCTACCAAAAGTTCTAATAAAATAATTAATTTCTAAATAAAATAATAATAAAATAATCAAACTAAAAATCCTAAATTTAAAAGGTTTATCACAAAAGATAAAAATAAATATTTAAATCTTATTACTTTTGGTTGAATTCTGATTCATATTATAGATAACATTGTGTCAGGTAAATTCCAATTAAATATTTAAGATGTTGATTGAACCATCAAAATCTACTACTTTTTGGGCTAATTAATCCAATAAGGCTCATGTACAAAATAAATCCAAAAATAAAGATAATTCAGTAATATCCAATCGAAAAATAAGGAATAAATAACAATAAATATATGCAATATAAAACACTCATCAGGTAGACACTTCCGATATTTAATCCAAGTTTATGAGTTAATATTTTCGTAAATGAGTTTTCCAAGTGGTTTACTAAATAATAGTAGAAGAATGGTAGGTACTGTAGGGATTAATAGGAAAAAAAGGTTGGACTAGTGATTCACATGAAAGAAAGGGAAGTTTTTGTAGCTTGGGGGATGAGAGACAAGAGGGTGATGATATTGGGAGGAAATTTTCTACATGTTATCAACCACATTCCCCCCTTCTTCTTTTTTCCATCAGTTACCTGACTTTTATATATAATTGTGTATGTTTTTTTTCCCTTTCGTAGTTTATGGTTGCTCCCTTAATAAATTGTGAACTAACATTGTATTTTTTAATTGTATAACCTCTCAAGATGCATTGAGAGGAAGGACAAGTGATGACCCCACAACAAAAGAGGTTCACTTGCCAAGTGCTGGGATTTCCAACATGGCTGATGAGGATCTACCTCTATCAGCATGGATAGGAGCAATCTCACTAGGCCGTGTACAGAATGTAGTTCATGATCACTTGGCTTGTATATTTATGAAATTGTTGAGTATGCTTGATTCCGTTCTAGGACTTTCATGTGGTAAGCATGTCAATAAATGGAATCAGGAAAGAGGACGGGTTGATGTTCTGGTAGAATCTCTTGCTATGGATGCCAGAAGTGGAAGCCCGTTGGATTACGACCAGAGTTTGCCTTTCGAGAAGAAATCATGTCTCTGGCGAACAACTGAATCTATGGATGTCTTAAAAATTGTGCCCCAAAAACCACATTTTCAACCTTTGGTTGGAAAAAAGAGGAGTTTCGTGAAGGATCAGCAATTGGTATCATGCTAACCTATGCCAGTTTGTTCGAGAAGATATCGACGTTGCGTATTGATGATCCTAGAGTTACATTTGATAGCTTTTTTGAAAGTCTTAGTAATTTGGAAAAACACGGATTTAATGTTACATTGCTTCGATATCGCTTGAATAAATTACTATCGATCAAGGAAGGCCAAGGACAGCATATAGGAAAGAGAGAAAATGCTGAAAGGGAGATGATTGAGACTACAGGGGAGGTAACTAAATTGGACGAAGAGATAAAAGAGATTGAAAAGAAAATTACTGAGTTACAAGAACGATGTACCGTCATAAAGTCTGAGAAGGAGGCCAAGAATCTAAAGATTGCTGGTTTGAAGTTGCATGTTGGTGTTCTAAATGAACATGTTGAGAATGATTTGAGTGATTTTAAAAAACTAGCTACTGCCCCTTGGAAGTCGCCATGATCACTGGTACGATAGGCATGGTTTCTTGTTCATAATGCTAAGACTCCTGCAGCACAGGTGATAATTTTTGTCGCTAAATACACGGATTCAACTGTAGCCATTTAGAAACGGGTAGGTCACTTGAGTAAAAGGTCATTTTCGTTATTGGATATCAATGTATAAGCGTTTCGTGCACATAGCTTATGGTCTTTGGCTTCAGGTACGTTTACTTCAAAGGCAAAAATGGACCCTCTTCCTTGATTAGTATACTGAAAATGTCAAGTACCAGCTGTTGTGGAGCCCCTTTATTTCTCGTTTCTTTTTTGCATGTTGCTGTTTAACTTACTGTATTTACTCAATGGATGTGAGTAGCCAACACAAATGTTAATAAAAGAAAAAACCTAACACAATCATCGATTTAACTTTGGTCTTCTAACTTCAGTTTATTGAATGTGGATGCAATGCAAGACAAGAATGGATGGTGTATTAATTTTTACTTTTGGACGCTAGTTTAGATCGTGATTGCTATTTTGATTTTGGTCCATTATTCATGTTTGCACATTTTTTTAATTAATTATGGAAATAAAATATCCTATGAATACTATGACAGATAAATGGTGATGTCTTTGTTGCTTCTGCTATAACTTTCCAAAATACCGCATTGTTAATTAAAGACTTGATATAAAAATAAGTGTCCAAATTATATTCTTTTTATTTAAGTGTCTAAATTATTTTTCGATCAATCCATGTGTATAACGTTACAAACGTAACTATACGTATCACATTTATATAATTTTAAAAAATAAAAATTACAAATAGTAATTTTTTAAAAAAAAATCCTAAAATCTTAAATTATCTAATTTTAATCCTTATTTTCGATCATCGCCGGTCATCTCTCGACAACCATCTCTGCCGTTGATCACACCAGTCATCTTCTTTTCCATAATCCCAAATACTTAAATATATAAATTCCTAATCTTAAATTTAATAGGTGAGAATGTTAAATCCCTAACCCTAAATTTAATGAGTGAGAAAATTTAATTGTGGGTTAAGAAAGGAGGGGGAATTGGGGGCTTGGGGGAGGGGTCAAAGAGGAAAGGGCGGTTCTGACCTGAGAGGGAAACGACTGCGTGGGTAGTGGGGGAGGTTAAAGGAGACGTTGGGAAGTTAATTTTTTTTTATAATATTTTTTAAAACAATTTTTAAAAATTATTTTAAATATAATAATATTTTAAGTTTTTTTAAATAATTCAAAATTATATGAATGCAATACGTCCCACTTAAGGACCTTTTTAATACCATTACACTTAAAATGGTGACATTTGTAATATTAGACACTTAAATTTACAAAAATAATAATTAGACACCTAAATGGAAACAATATCACTTATTTTGTATTAACCCTTGACTAAAGCCAATTACTTGGCCTTTGACAAGTGTAGAATATCTGCATTCCAGGACACTCTTATTGGCAAAAGAGGATAGCAGTTTTTCAGGGAATGTGAGTGGATTTCATTTTCGGTGATGCAACAGCTGTGTTCCAGGGTTGCTACATATTCCCTCGGAGTCTACTTGCGGGGCAACTTCAGAATTGATTGCATCCGAGTTACGTATCCTGTAAAACCCTACCTAGGAAGCCTCTGGAAATATTTTTCCAGAACTATCATGATGCAGAGTTGCTAGATAACAAGTATCTATCCTCGAGGATGTCTGGAATATAATATCAGAAGCTTGGACTTGGATTTATATTGTGCCAAATATTTTCACCCACAAAGATTTATTTACATAAAGGTCAAGAAGATCCGTTTTATGAAATGCAAAATGCCACATAGGCAACTTCACCTGTTTTTCCCCATTATCTGTCAACTTCCATAGTTTCTTCCTCCAGAACTGAACCGGAAACCGGCTGTTCTACCAAGCTGCGAACATTAACACACGGTAGCATACAGAGAATCTGACTGTTTCATTTTATGGTCACCGTGCACAAAAATGAGCATCCCTTCAACTCATGTTGGGAATGATAATCCAAAAAATCAAGAAAGGGTCAGAGAGGAATACGTACCTAGTTGGATCTTGGTCATGTTTCTCAAATGTCGGAAAGTTTCTGTAAAATTGAACAGAAATCAAGCTTTCAATTGAGCCAACTTCCGGTGCGGGAGATCCCTGTATCATTACACTTGCACCACGTCTATAACATATACCTGCAAGCAATGTTAGGCAGATGTCAGAAATTGCTAAACATAGCATAAGCTTCGGATCGTGAACCTCAAATATTCCAAGAAGAATTGCAGGTACATAAATGAATGACTAGAGCACTTCAAACATTCCATGTGAAAGGAACATGAATATACGAGGAAGAAGCAAACAAGCTTCAGCAACAAGTCGAGTTGAAGCATGCCCTCTTAGGTACTATCATGAAACGTTCATGACAAGAGCTAGAAGAGCTAGAAGAACTGGTGACAGCAGGTTGACAAAAAATGATACATCAAGGACACAAAGAATTCCCCAAAACAACGAAAGAAGATTATGATCTATAAGTTCCTTATAAGTAGATAGTGGTCACTCAAAATTAAGCAAGACAAAAAATATTAAAAACAACCTTGAGTGATGTCAAGTGACTTGCATGTTCTTCTCTGCACTCTATGAAATAAAATATTAATATTCCAACACACTGCTCAAAGAATTCTCTAAATTTAAAAGGAAATTTTAGTTCTTCTACAGAAAACTTCTTATGGCACTCCAAACACAATCCATTTACAACAGAAACTGAGAAAAAATATGGCTTTTCATTCTAGACAATTTACAAGAGAGTTAATGTAGCTCTTTTTCATTTTTGTTTTGCTTTTCATATTGAAGGCTCGTAGCGTATAAGAAGAAATGTCAAATTTCAATAAGTTAAAACTTTCTTTTACAGATGATTAAGTTACAATAGTTTTTCGAGGTCTTGAAATTGTTCCATCATATACATGATAGCATGACAAGGCACAATCACTGCAACAACCAAGAACTATAATGCCATTAGAAAGACATGGTTAGAACAGAGAAAGCTCGTCGTACAAAGCTTTATTCAGCACACTAGTCTTTCTAAAATAGTTGCCATGCAAGAAACTGACAAAAGTTTCTTATTTGCCAATCTAACATGATTGGCCTCTCAAATACAGACTTCTATCATACTTGGCTGTTAGGGGAAGCTTATACCGGTCGATAGCAGATTCTACCTACTGTTATTCATGTTGTTTAGAAGAGAACAATTTTTAATTAGGATTTTCTGGAACTAAAAAGGTATAAATACCTTGAAAGAGTATGACAAGGCAAAAGATAACTGTGATGACCATAGCAGAAAGGCTACTGTTTGATGATGATGCAGCCTTCATCTTCTTCATCGCTTTAATCCGTTTCATCCTTGCACGTTTTCTCATGGCAAGTTCGGCAATCTCCCTCACCGACTCCTGGTCTGCTGCATCCAACAGTGGACCTTTAGGAGGCAGTGGTGGCTTGGGAGGCTTCCTAGAATTTGTCTTCTTACACTTATCCTCTGCGAAATTCTTTTCCACCAGCGCCATTAGTTCACTATTCTCTTCTCCTTCTGAACTCTTGTCCACCAAGAATTCCATATTCTCACCCTCAATCCAGCCAAAAATCAAGTAACTACCGCAAGAGTTTATGCCACATTTACCCTTGCCTACTCTATCAAAAGTCAAAAGATCACTCCAAACATTACTGGAAGTTCTCTTTGTTTGCAAATTTTATGAACCATGGCCTTTGGTTCTTTCATCTTCACTGGTTGTTCCACCATCTTCGATATCTACTTCAATATCTCTTTCTTTTAAATATGAGCGATCCATTTGAAAAAACCATTAATTCCGCTCGAACCTTTAAATATGAAGTAATATTGCACTTCAAGCAAAAACAATCCTATCCTCCACCGAGTCCTAGTCTAGATAAAGTTTGAAACCTTTTCTCAAAGCACGGGCTCAACTTTGAGCAAGCAATCAACCCTGAATTTGTTAATGAAAAAATCACATGTTAGACGTAGGAAATGTAGGAAAATAAACTGCAAATAGAAATGCTACCTTGGAGGACAGAGAGAAGAAAAATGCAAAAGTTGAATGGCAAAAAATTCAACCATTTGAGAAGAAAACAGGGGAAAACTACACACCTGAAAAATAGGAAAAAGAAACACTTCAAGCTAACATAGAGACGTAACAATCAGTGACGGATGCACTAAGCCCCAGGGTCAAGTGCATCCATTATTTTGAAAAGATAATTAAATGTAGTTTAATGTATAAATGAAAAAAAAGAAAAAATTATAATTTTTGTATATCATTATTTAAAAAAAATTAAAATTTTAGATTTTATTCTTAAATTTTTGGATCATCCACTAATAACTAGGTGGAAAAAAAAAAGGAATGAGACTTAAGTAAAACTAAAACGAGCCTAATTCGATGTCAACCAAGAATCATAAACTGAGAAACCTTTGATGATTTCGTCTACCTTTAAACTCACCGGAGCTGGAGACCATCACAGAAAGAGCATGTTAGGAAGTTTATTCCTTAAAAAAAATGGTCTTTTTATGATTTTTTGGGTTGGAAAATAAGATTTTAAAAGGGCACGAAAGATTAGATAAGTATATTAGTACTTGGAAGTGTCAGCTTCTCCGAGGATGGTTTTGGGCTGCGCCGGTTCTGTACAGGCCATTTTACGTAGAATATTCAAATAGGGGGAAAAATAAGGGTTAATTTTATCAATTGGCCTCAAAAATAAGAAAATTTATTTTCAACTCAACTCTTTAATTATGAGTTTGGATCGGGCAAGTTTAGGGATAGATATTTCATTTGGATTCGATGAGTTTTAACTCAATTTGATTGATCGTGTTATTTTTTTTCCCGGATCAAGTTTGGATTTTAGAGGGAAAGAAACCCCTTATTTGACTAAATATTATAAATATTATTTATATATATATGAATAATTACCGTAATATCTCTTTCTATTTTTTTTTTTCAACTAGATCCTTATTTTTTCTAATAAAATTAATTATATATATATATGTATTTAAGTCGAGTTGAATCGGGTGTGGGATTAAACCTGAAACACAGATCGAATTTTGAATCGAACGAGACCCTTCTAAACCTCGAATCAAGTTGAATGCATGTAGAGAGATTTATTTTTCTGGTCATATTTGGATTAACTAAAAACTCGATCGAACCCATGAACATATCCAGAAAAATCTAATTTTTCTAAGAAAAAATAATAATTTTATATAAAATATGTATATTTTCTAATTTCTCATGCACCCAACAAATCTAATTAAATGCGGGTAACGTCTTGGTAAAATATTATATATGTTTTCAATTGAATAACTTGACAAAATATTTAATGCAACTAAACACTACTACTCTTGATCGACGTTGTTTCACCATTCATTCGTTAACATAAGACTTCCTAAACAAAGAAACTAAAGTTCCCACTGAAAGTAGTTTGAAATGTGACCCGATACTAACTTGGAAGTAGGCAAAAGCATTTGCTGCTGCAAATTTAAATCTGTTTCTTTTTAAGATTTCAGTCACTGAATATAATGGAAGTAGGTTTCAGTGGCTCAACTATATGAGCCAAGACATCCACCCCCACAAGCAGTTAAGTTGGGCATCTGCATTACACCGCCGCCTAATTGTTCTGTCCCTACCCCACAGAGTTCTTGCATCCGACTCCATACTCTTTCTCTAAATTGGTAGTTGCCACCATTCGTGAATTATGACGTTGTTAATGATCTCAAAAGTGGAGCACCAAAGCCAGATCTTTACGGCCTATGAATTTAACTTTATAAAAGAGGTTAGATAGTTCAATGTTACAGCTGATTCACACTGTAGACATCCAACATGGCCATCTCTAACATTCGAGAACTTTTGGAGTGGACCAACCAATGGTTATGGAAATTTTGTTCTCCTTTCTTGACTCGGATTCAAGCAACATAGTCTGCACATGTGTGCAAGAGTTTAAATTTAAATGTTTTTTTTTTTAAAACATTCGACCCACACATAATAAGCCTTTATACAACCTAACTTTCATGATCATTAAGCAAAAAATTAGGCAATGCGTCATGCTTCCACCCTGTGATAATTGTAGCCGAAGGATGGCTCTATAACATAGCCGAAAGGCTTAGGTTCAAAATATGGTCATTATTAAAAGTTATTACGGTCTAGTCCTGGGGTGGCGGCAGTAGGCCCTTGGAATCACGGGATGGATTATATTGACTAATAGCAGGAGACAGTGGATTTTGCTTTGTGCGTTGATTACCATTTCCTTGCCAATAATCAACCTGCCACTGTCCACAATATTATTCTTTAGCAGTGCCAAGTATTCACATGGCCTGTAAACATCTATTTACACCCACAAAGAAACTGTGGATAGAGACCCCATGATGTAATTAGAATCATTGCTCCATAATACATAGTGCATGAATAGGCAAACGACTTCGATCTCCCTCTAATACAGCAATACACTGAATCCCCCCATCTTACCATTCAGTGAACCAAATCTTTGAGATGTTGACGCAAGAAAAGGACGGGTCATTATTATGCAAGTCCATCATATTTTTCTTTCCTACTAAATTCTAACTTCTTTTTGCAGGGAAATCCGCTTTAATGCTTCTCTGATGAACCTTAACCCTCAAGCAATAGTTACTTTCATATGGGAATCAATGCATATTCGTTTGGTAATAACAAAAAACAAAAGGTATAGGACAAAGAATTAAAGAAGAAATAACCAAATTTCCCCTGCTGCATAATCTCTACATATACAAAGCCACCAAATGAGGCCAAAAAAACCAAGTCCGAGTTATATATAGTAATATTCATCGAGGTTTGTTTAAATGGAATTGGCACCTGTCAGCAAGAAAAATACATATATCAGTGTACTGATATTTTCTAAGCTACTCTTCTTTTAGCATATGAGATGGTAGAATGTCCTGGAGAAGGCCATGGTCTTTAAGCAAAGACGGTCCTGTCCCCGGGATGTAAATACGTTTCTCATGAAGAAAACTGTTGTTAGTGGAACCAATGTTATGGCCAAAGTTCGAAGGAGACAAGCTATTGGTAAATGGCTGTTGATAGTGAGGTGAAGTCCTTTGCATTGGCATGCCAAAAGCTGCGGCGGACATGGCTGTACTCAGATGAGAACCGCCGAGTTTTGGACGAGGCATGATTGGGCTGGAGTGAGTATGTTGGCCTTCGTAAGTGGTGACCACAATGCTTGGATCACTGAAAGATCTCTCCACTCTTTTCTTCACATTACATGACGCGGTGGTGCAACGATAATAACTCCTATATACGAGAATTAAACAGTGTAAACTTTGCCTAGAAAGAAGTAAAATAGGTTAAAAGTTTGAAGACTGAGGTTAGTACCTAGGAAAGGGACTGTTTTTTACAGCTTTCTGGCCGTACTTTCTCCATCTGTACCCATCTTCCAAATGATCAACCTCGCTCTTTGTCATGAACGCGAATCTCGGCTCTCTCTGTCTCTTCTGGTTCTGGTTTGTCTTCTTGGTTTTCAACCTAAACCCACAAACGCCAAAATGAATCTTCATCAGCTACAAATCACTTGAGGGAAAACAAAACCCTCATTTCTTTTCCAAATTAGTTTTAAAAAATGGGACTTTGTTTAACTGTAAACAGAACCACAGACTCAAACATAGACATAAAAGGATCCATCTTTTTCTCTTTAGTGGAAGAATGATGAATAGTAAGATAAAGGCTATGTAAAGAGAAAGAGTTTGAACTCACTGTTTCTTGGTTTTTTTCTGGTTTTCTTCTTGGTCATCTACTTTAACAAGTTCATTAAAAGCCTCACTTGGTGCAGGTGAAATCGAGGAAGAGTTAGGAGTTGCAGGCTGATTAATAGCCTCAGGAGACTCGATCTTCTTGGAAGGTGGTGGAGTGGGAGGTGCTTGGCTTGATATTAGAGAGGGAACCTGTTGTTCAGCTGTCATGATCTCCAAGAAAGGAGGACTGATCAAGTCTTGAACTCCCAGCAAGTCCATAAGCCCTAAAGAGAGGATCTTCTCGTCTTCGCTGCAACTCAAATCAAATATGCTTTGTAATGGGAAATTATTCACCGTGAATTGTGAACACGATGAGTTTCCCAGTACATCCTCCATCTTCATTCCCTCTTTTCTCTCCATGTATCAATTAAAAACTCCAGTTTTTTATCATCAAAACCACTTGCACTCACCAGAGAAAGAAAGAGATCTTTTGTTTAGTGAGAGAAAGGAAGAAATGGAAGAGAGTTTTACAAGAAAGTGAGATTTTTGGTTTGGCTATGGAGAAATGGAAAAGAGAGAGAGGGAGAGAATAATAAATAAAGGATCAACGGGCAACTGTAGGTCAAATACCTGTACGGAAACTCAACAGTGCCGGTTGTCATTCAGCGTGAAGGTGAGGGATGAGCGCCCCATTGTTGTTTGGTCGGACAGTGTGGTGGAGGCTTTCATACGTACATCTTTAACTGGGTCGCAGTGTGAACGGAGTTCCCCTCAGTGTGATATTCATACGGCCTAAACCATATTAATATATCCCTTGGCTTGGGTTTGGCTGTATAAATAATTAAACTACAGTTACTTTTATTGTGCATGTGAGTCAAACAACACCTCAAATAGCAAATGAAGAGATAAGATGCAGAATTACAAAATATTTTCAATAACCAGTAATGAACTTTTGGATATACATATACATATTTATATATTAGCATGTAATCTTCTAAGTTATATTATTATAAATTTAATATAAAAATAAGTGTTCTGAATTATACATTTTATTATAGGATATATTATATTAGCATATAAGTGTTTGCGACAAACACCTTACTCAAAAAAACAAGTTTTCATATACTCTATAAGATCAATTTTTTTAACGCATTATTAAAAAAATAAAAAAATAAAACCTATTTTTCCACTTGATTGAATGTCAACGACTCCCCACCAACTATGTGATGAGAGGTATAAGAGGTGTAGGTTGGCCAATGAGGGGTGTACAAATAAGACCGTAGAATCGTGCTTGGATAACGCAAACGAGACAAATGAGCCTACGTAATAACTTTTATCCAAATATAATATTTGAGTGAGTGTCACATGAAATTCTCCGTCTCACACCTCAAACAACAGTCTTATCCGCTAGTAGCTTTCACTTGAGATACGCCATTAATTCTCATCAACTACAATATCTACAACAATGCCGTATTATAATCAACTTAATTTTGAGATTATTTTAATATCTCAATCCTACATGACAGGGATAGATATAATATTCCTCATGTAAAATCCAAAAAGAAACCCTTTTATCCAACTCAGTAAGGAATTTAAAACCAAAGCAGCCAGGTTTGGCTGGTCTGTCCCCATTTAGGCACCAACTCCGATGGTCGGTCGACCGTTGAAGCCTTTCGCCACCTTTCTCAATTGCACACCGAAGACATTAAATTTTATCCTTCAAACGTTGCTACATTATATAATATATTTATATTATAAATTATATTATATAATATGTTCATATAATATATTTATTTACATCTCTTTCTTCTTTTCAGGCCCAATTGGTGCCCACAAATCCACGTGTGGTTCAACATGCCAGACCCAAGTCACGCGTGAGCCCAACGCGTAGGATTTCCAGAAACCCTAGCAAGCCTTCACTCCATCAGCGCCGCATGGTGCATCCAGCTCTCCCTCACTCGTCTCTCCACAAGCGCCACAGTCCCCACTTGGCACGCCGCCTGTCACGCAACGAACCCACTTTTCTCGACCTCCAAACTTACGTGAATGTGTGGGACACCAACTGCTCAACATAGCCTGGTTCTCTCGGCCACAAGCAACGATCGTGGATGTCAAACAAATAAGAGTAGTTGAGTTTGATTAGGACTCAAGCTAGACTAAAAAATAGGCATGCATTTTTGTATAAATAGGCATGTAATCAACAGTATGGGGGGGATTTCCAGACGATTTTTACACAGAGAATATACACGATTTCATGCAAGGATTAGGCACCAAATACAAGCAAAAAAATAGGAGAAGCAAGAGTAGTCCGGGCCTTGTAATATCTTTCGAAAAGCAATAAACAAGGTAAAAGACCTTACCTTTTTATCTTCTTTTTCCGTTTGCATGTGTGTTTTGGGCCATTTTCTTTGTGTTTGATTCGAAAGAAAACGAAAGGAAGAGCTTTTGGCCGAGGAACAGGGCGTTTTCAAGATCTTCTAATCTAGATCTAGCCCCCGAGGTTTACATTTTTCAAAAAATGTTTGGCTTTTTGAAACGGGTACAAGAAAAGCTTTCGGATTTAAAAAATAAACGATTTTTGCCGTCGATGACCGGCGGTCGGCGCCGATCAACGGCGGCCGGTGAGGTGGCGTTGGTCGTGTTCTGGGTTTCTATGAACCCAGGCGGTGGCCGGTTCTTCAGATTAAAGAACAACTGAGAGCGTTTTGAATAGGGGGGCTCTCTCGTTTTGCAAAGGAGAGAAATAAAGCCTAAAGCAAAAAATTTGGCTTAAATAGGTAGACCCATCAGACGCCTGACCCGACCCGTGACCTCGTCTGACCCGCGTGTTTTTAACAAAAAGGGGGGAGTTCACATTTTGGTCCCCCAATTTTCAAAGTACTTAATTTAGCCCCCTAATTCAATTTTTAAAACCAATTCAATTCTAATTTGGCCCCAATTTTTATCTTTTCTTTCATAACGGTCCCTTACGTATTATTTTCACATTTTTATTTATTTCTTCTTTGATAATTCGTATTATTAAATATATATATATATATATATATATATATATATATATATATTATTATTTTACTATTAACGTATATAAATATATTTTTCTCTTTTGTCACTATTATTATCATTATATGTATATTCTTTATTGTATTTTATTTTTATTTTTTTTACCCTTTTTTAAAACATATGTATGTATATTTTTCTCTCTCTCTATCTTTATTTATTTATTAATGTGGATCTTTTAATGTTTATTTATATGTACTTATATATCTATTTGTTTTTTTTTCGTATATATAATGTATTCATTATCTTTCTTTTTAATGTACCATAACTTATTATCATACATATATTGTTTTCATATTTTATTTTATTTTATTTTTCTTTTCTTTTCTTTTTTCATTTTTTTATGTATTTGTTTTTGTTTTATGTTTTCATATTTTTCTATTCTTTTTTTACTTTGTTACGTTTTTACTCATGATACCCTTTTATTTAGTTTGCTTTATTCTTATGTATACTTATCTCGTTATTTCTCGTTTCTGCTTGTTCTCGTATTTACACGTTTTTAACTTAATTTAATTTTGTACTACACTATGAATCTAACATCACTATCTTTTTAAAGGCATATTTTCAAATCAATCTAAGGTAAGCCATTGAGATCGCCATTTTACCTTTTAATTTAAAGTTACATTTTTCTTAACTAAAAACAACTGGAAATTACGTAGTACCGAAAGGGCAGTTCAAGGGTGCTAACCCTCCTTGATTGTAACCGACTCCCGAATCTGACACATCACTGGTAAGACGCATATCAGATACGAAATAAGGTATCCGGTCAACCTATTTTTTATAAAATAAATGATCGGTGGCGACTCTTAACCCATTTTCCTAAGTCGAAGCCCGATTACGGGGCCCAACCGAAAGACGATTCCGACAGCTTGGCGACTCCGCTGGGGACCGGTAAGTGAGTCAGGCTAAGGTAATTTCTACTTATCTTTTTAATGAAAAGGGTAAGTTTAAATTTTGAGGTAATATTTTGATCCTTTTTACTTACTTTTGATTATATTTTCGAGTAAATAGTTGTACTAATCGTTTTCTCATGATTTCAGCCTTCAAAGTTTTTCCACTTAAGGCTCTAAACCCAAGTTCCAAACCCGTTTTAAGTGGGGGTGAAAGTGACGCCTTCGTGTAAATTTATTCACCGTATGGGCCTAGCAAGTAGCCTTCGGGATTCATATACCTTATGTCTTCGTGTGAATTTATTCTCCGTATGGGCATAAGGGAATGTGTCCCCTCGAGTTTAACTTAGTCCACACAAGCCTGTAATGGTTTAGGACTAAGGGTCTGGCAAGCTCACGGGGGCACCGGCAAGGAGAACTCGGGTACCGTTTTTTGGAACCTAAACCGAGAAACTATGGAGAAATAGAGCCTATCCCGAAACCATATTTCAAACCCTAGGACATTTTTACCCTAACCATATTTTTGTTCATTCTTCCTCTTCTTATTTTTTTTTATTTCGTCATTTCATATTTATTTATATGTTTTCATTTTACTAACGTTTTTTACCTTTGTGTTTGTTTTCTAGCATTTGCATCATAACAAGTGGTCATTGATCCCTAAAAAGCATTTTTTACACACAAAATAATCTGAACAAATGGACAAAGGTGTTGTAATACAAGAGATTAAAAACCTGGAGGTACGACTATGGTCTGAGAAGTCCCAGAAGGAAAAGGGAGACAGTCTTCAAGGAAGCTATGTGTCAGAGCTGGTTAATTATGCCTCTATCAGCCTAAAACAGAACAATGTTCAAGAGCTTCGAGACATCTGGGACAGTTGGAAGAATGATCGAAAATAAAAGTTCAACCAACGGTACGGTGACATTGTACTTCTACTCCAGGTTAAGACTGATGAGCCTTTAATCAGAGCCTTGGTTCAGTTCTGGAACTCGGGATACAGTTGCTTCACTTTTAACCAGGAGGACATGGTGCCCACCATTGAAGAAAACACTACACTGTTGCATTGTGAAAATATCAAACTAGAGCGAGCCTACATTAAACACATTAAAAGTCAGCCTTTTAAGAATACACTAGCTAGGGTTGCAGGAGTAGACGAGAAATGGGTAATTGATCGGACTCAGCGCAGAGGCAACGGGGAAGGGATTGAATGGTTCCACGTAAAGCAATTGATGAAAAACCACCCTGATGAATGGAAGACTATAGACTTGTTTACACTGGGTCTGTACGGTTTGATTATCTTTCCAAAAGCTTTGGGGTGCATTGATACAGCCGTGGTAGAACTGTTTGAACAACTCCCGAAGCGAGTCAACCCAGCACCAGCCATCTTAGCCGAAACCTTTCGATCTCTCAATCATTGCAGAAGAGCCGGTGGAGGCAGGTTCGTTGGGTGTGTTCAGCTCATTCAAGTCTGGATTCACAGCCACTTCTGGAAGACTAGCGGAGTTGCTTACCGCCGATTTAGCACCACTTATTCACCTTTAGGAGAATTCATCACTAGGAAGTGGCATGAAGGTGCTTCAAAAGAAAAGTGGATGAAAGTCTTTACGCATCTTCAAGATCGAGATATT